GACCTATACTTTTGAATTGCCCAAGTTTGGGTAGGATGGTAATACGTATTAGCCCATTTAGTTGGTTAGTTGTGGGAATTAATTGGTAGCCCATTAGTGCTATCTTTGGCCCATTTTGGAGAGGAGTGTTTGGGCCAAATGAGTAACCTAATATTGTGCCCTATATATTTCCATGTTCAGCAATGTGTAACTGTGTGTGTGTAGTGCAATAGAGAGAAGAAAAAGAGAAAAAGGCAGCCGGGCATTTTGAGAGAGAAAATTGAGAGCCTTGCTTGATTATTGATATCTTCTTCCTTTTCTTCCTTTGTGATATTGCATACTATCACCATTGGAGTCTCCTTTGTGGAGTGAGACTTGCGGCAACCCGGTGTAGGAAGTATTGGGTCGAACTTGCACGTGTGGTGTCGATTTTGGTTGTTTCAGAGCCCGGGAATTGAAGTTTGGAGCACCAATATTCAACATTTGGTATCAAAGAACGTTGGTGGTGTCTTTTTTCGGCGAAGGCATCTCCAAAACCAGCGAAGAAAGCTGCCTAAATTTCTTCAAGAAAATTGCACCTGCAAATAAATTTCCGGCCAAACCATAAAGAATTTGGAAAAACGGTAATCACTGGTGGAACGAGTAGGTGGAGAGGTGCTAGGTGGCCGGCACTTGAGATCCTCCAGCGGTACGTGAAGCCCACGTGCAGAGGACTGTAGCAGCTCGTGCGGGCGAAACTTCCTTTAGGCAGTTTTATCCAAACATTTTTCCTAACGTGTTTGATGTGTTAGTTTTTTATTTATGGTGACGCGGTGGAGTCTGGACGATTTTGCCCCAACTGGTTCAGGATTCAGTTTTGCATTTTATCGGTTGCTGTAAACTTTAGGGCGAATAGTGGTGGCCCTAAATTGTTAAAATTATAATCCTCGAAATTTACAGACTCAAATAGGTCCGCTCTGGTAATTGGCTTATCCCGTTTAAATTTCAGCATTAGCGCGTCATCGTGTGGGGTGACATTAGGATTGTGGTTACCGTGAAGGGGTAACCATTGCTTGTGCTACAAATTTAAGAATTATTTGCCGTATTTGAAGTGTTGATTTTGACTGTAAGCTGGTAATTATTTTGGGCACTTTAACTGTTGTTTAGTCTCTGTGTGAGATTGCATTGCGTGAAAATTTGAATTTTCTGTTGATATACCTTAGTGTTGTATTGGCTATTCCTTTAAAACACCTAGACTTGAGCCGTTCGAACATTCCCTTGATCTAAGATTGTGCATCTTACGAAACCTGGGAATA